ACAGCAGTATAATGGTTGGTACACACGATAACGATTTATGAGACAGATGAAGCTGTAAGAGTCGCATAGACTAACAGCACTAACATCTAGATAATAGTCGTGCAGTTTTATCGAACGTGTGTACTAAAATCGGCGCAGATTTTTTGGTTGGTGCAAGCCATCGGAGCAAAGTTTAAAATCTATTCGATAAATCGTTGTCGATCGCGTTTGCACAGTTTTATCGAAGTGTGTGTGTGTACGGAAGTCGGACCAATCATTCAGTTCGTTCGCAAGTTCGTTCGTTTCAGGAACGATTTGACTGAGAGCCTCTTTTGATATCAACGTAGAAAACCTCATCTATTTGTACGAGCGACCTGTAGCTAAAACCTCAGAGTTGCAGACAATATTTCATGAGAACTTATTGCTTCTCTCATCACGTTATTGCTTTTTACAGGAGGTGTAAGTAAGTCTCTTCATTCATCGTCAAATAATTGTACCAGTCTTTTGGGGAATTTTAACTCTTTTAATAAATTTTGTGTGAGAGTATGACTTTTTTTCAGGAAGTCAATCCTTACATCACACACTACGTGATTTTCTTTTCTTTTTTCACAAAACAAGCCGGGCTAGCGCAAGCGCTTCATCGTCTGTCATCACGAATGACATGTTTTTCTTCTGAGTTTCTGCCGAGAACTGACGATCAACGCAGATATAGTAGACGTGTGGACGCACTACCAACGTTCGATAAACTGCGCAAATGAACTGTGCAGTTCGAGCGCAACTCGATAAACTGCGCAAATTAACTGTGCAGTTCGAGCGCAACTATACTAGCTTTACCACGTAAAATTTTTGTTAACATTGTGTTCAGAATGTGCACGTTAAGATTGTGCGGGTATACTGCGGGTGATTAGCGATTTTATAACCTACTATGTTGAAATGAAAATTAATTTGATGGGAGCCAAAACCAATATTAGTAGGAGAAATTAGTTTCTCTTAGAATAATGAGAATTCTTAGAACAACTTGAAACGATATTTCTTTGAGTTTTAAATTAAACTTTAGTTTACAAATTTGTATCGAATTTTATTCATTCTATCCATTACAGTCTATAAAAGTCCATCGATAAAAAGTCCAGAACACAGCCTCTCCTACATATTGCCCCATAGGAGGGATTTTGCCATAGTTGCCACGCTTGGCAGTTTTATTATAAGATAGGATGACAAACGAGCGCACACAGTCCACCTGATGGTAAGTGGTTGCTGTGGCCCATAGATATCTACATTTATCCTCGATTACGAATCAAAATACAGATGCGTTGTCATCCGTGAGGACTAAGATGGAATGTCTCGTTTCCAGTAAAAAGGGTCTCTGGTTCTCTACACTCACCATAAGAAACAGCAGTATTAAGCTACTATTTCACGCTGGTATTCTATGAGAGCGTGGTCCTTCCCCGGTCGAGCCGACCCATTCGTGCTACAGCTATACTACTAATATAACTGCAGCATGGCTCTACCACGTATAAAACGTGTGTCACGTTAGCCACGTGTGTCAGCAGCCGCAATCTATTATTTTGAGTTGTTATTAGAGAGGTGCTGCTGCTCGTCTCGTGTCTCTGTTTCCACTAACGACACCCTCGGGACTATATGAGGTATAATAGTGGAAACTTACGTATGACGTGTTCGTCAGTACCATATAAATTATAAAACGTCTAGAACCCAAATAAAGTCAGTCGTTTTATTGACGCATAACGCCTATGTAGTACGAAAAGTAGTATTCATATAATACGTACCATGTACATAGGAACCTAATTCCTTTGTTTTATTTAGATAAAGAATTGTGTTTCGACATTTCACTACAATGTAATCTTGCTTCTATACGGGATATAGCAACATTGCAGCTATATCATAATTGCAGGACATGATCGTGGTGGGGCCGCGACTTCACAGAATACCAGCGGAAATAGTAGCTCAACGCTGGTGTGTTTTGTATTGTGGGTGTAGTGAACCGGAAACTCGACGAATCTGCATTTTGATTCTAATAAATGTAGATTTTTATGGACCATAGCATTTAATTTTCGTCAAATAGACTGTGTGCTCGTTTGTCAACTTTATTTTATAAAAAAAAACAATGTCATTTTTTTTAAACAACAGGGTCGGACTTAAATATGTTATTCCAATGTCTGTATGCTAAGACTGCTACAAAACAGAACCTCGTAAATATCGCTATAGCCGTGAACTTGCCCTCGTCAATCATATTACATATTATAGTCAGCGCCGTCCACGTGGTAGAGCGATAACAGCGCCCGAACACTTTAAAAGTTACTCCTTCATATTTTTTTTATATGAGAGGGGGCAAACGAGCATACGGCTCATCCGATGATAAGTGATTACCGCTGCCCATGAACAACTGTAACGCCAGGGGAATTGCAGATGCGTTGCCGGCCTTTTAAACAAGAGTAGGTTCTTTTATTGAAGGTCTCTATGGTATCTCGAGTTCTGTCGCGATGTGCGATGTATATTGAACGGCTGGAATTAGTCCTAACAGTCCCCGTGGTAAATACGATACAATTAGCAAAAAGATGCAACATCTGTTCGCCATTACCAGTAAATCAAACCGATCAGAAAGTGCATGGTCACAGAGGATTCGAAATGCTCTGCGCTGGAAAATGGAAGGACCTGACACTGGGCAGCCCCGGCCCATATACGGGAACAGTATTCCACGCGAGGCCGTCCCTGCGTTTGTTAAGTTGCAGGCGTAGTGCTGGCATGAAATACTGTCCCATTCTGCTGAGCACGCCAAGCTTTTTTAAGGTCAATTTGGCCTTCTCTTCCAAGTGACCACGAAACTGCACGTCATTCGGTATGTCGCCGCGGAGAATTCCGATAATGGCTGACACCAATGGCAGTGTCCTGAAACTAAGCATACAAAAAAAGGGGTTCCTTTTAGCGGTAAACGCCCAAACTTTTGTCTTCTGGGGATTGAAATGGACTAGATTTAGTAGCCCCCAATCAATAAAAAACAATATCTCTAATTAAGAAACAAGTTTGTCCCGGTACTCGGTGATGTTTTACCCAGAAATATTGCCACAGCCAGTGTATAAAGCATCACCAATGCTGTCGTCCGCATAGCAGTGAATGTTAGCGGTTTGCAACATATCATATATATGGAGAAGGAACAGCGTTGGTGATAGCCTTGTATTATATATTAGCTAAACTCACTTTTTCTAACAATTAACCATCACTTCTCTCTTGAGGGCCCTATACTTTCTCATTCAATGATCTCCTGTCCAACTACGTCCCGTTAACGTTCTCGTTATAGCCTATTAAAGTTTATTACGAAATACAGGCCTCCCCCATTGACTGCCTCAGGAGGGGGATCGTTTTGCCAGCTTTGCTAATCGGTTTGGCAGACGCAGTTTTTTATTTTTAGTCGTTATTAGGAAGACGCTGCAGCCCATCTCCTGATTTGTTTCCCGCTGTCGCCTCTCAGCTCTCAGCACACCCGCGAGATGATATGGGCTAGTGGATATACTTACACCGCCACTATATATGTACCAATTACGTCCCAGGTCCTGCGAATTTCCCGTGTTAGTTGTCCCTGGTTTATACTCCCTTTTTAAATATTTTGAGTGATAACGTACTAATAATATTAAATTGTTAAATTACTAATCAGTTTCGGTGACGGTACTTGAAAATGTGTTTTGTTGTAGACGGTGAATCCTATCGTAAAATTGAAAACTTCTAATAATTATTATTTATTGTCACTCCCGTGACTGACTTGGCACTGGCAGAATTCTATGAAGCGAAGCCAAAATTAAAAAATAAGAGGTCTTTGTACCTAATTGATGAATGTGAATGCAAAACCGAAGGCAAGCGAATTCGTAGGCTTCGTTTATTTTCGGTTTTAGGACATCGATTTTGTAATGATAATAAATGTCATAATTTAATGAATTTAAGAAGACGATACTAGTGGCATAGCAATATGCAAATATGCAAATGTGCTGCGAGATGCCTGGCAAAAATTTGCTATTCGGTTAATTAAACATCGTTAAACGATTATTAATCAGACTATTTTGTAACATTCATGAGTAGTCGTTACATTCTATCGAAGATAACCTCATAGCGAGGATTTTACCACAGTTTTCTTTTTTTTATAGAATAAATTACAAACAAGGTTACATACAAGCACACACAGGCGGACTATCTGATGCAAGTGAATGTTGTGACCCAAAGACATCTACATTAATACTCGTTTAAGAATGAAAATGATGCATTGCCATCCCCGATAGAATTCCTTATATGCAGTAAAAAGGGTTTCCGGTTCTCCACAATCATCATTCGAAACACAGCAGCAATAAACTGCTAAGTATTTTACGTTGGTATTCTGTGATAGCGTGGTCTTTCCCCGTTCGGGTTAACCCATTCGTGCTACAAACCGTATATACGCTCTGTAGCGTGGCTCTACCACTAATGTGATATATTGTTACACCTGTAATAATGTCTGTGGGCTACAGCATATATTTATAATTAGGTAGACTGTGTGCTCGTTTGTCACCCTTATTCTAAAAAAAACCTGGAAAATGCTAAACGGTGAAAAAATGTTCTGAAATCGATCTTTCCCGTATTGTTGGGAATATGTCTTCACGTACATAAACAACATGCGAGCACTTAACGGTTGTCACCAGTTAACTGTGTTGCGGTTCCACTTCCACCATAGTGAAGTTCTATGGACAGTCCGATACACTTATCCGTCATGCGTTGCGGATGCTAGTGTCACAAATTTTTTACGCAAACTCGCACATTAATAATTAACGGGTTGTCAGTTGTCACAATTTCAACACAACAACAGGCTACGTTCTCGCGTACCGGCGACCGCGATACGAGATAGACGTGCGCCTTACATCGTAACCCGTTACGTAGCTGCAAGTATTTGTACGCAACGGTACTCGCGTCGAGTCGTAGCTTGCGAATAAACTAAAGCTCCCGGTGGCAACGTCCAGCGCGGTTCGCGGAATTCAACTCGGAAACTATAAATAATGTGAGTGCGCGCGGTCGGCGAATCTCGCGAGCTTACCTTTCCTCGTAGCTCGGGGTCTGCTCGCCGGAAGTGCCCTGCGAGATGTCGATGTCCATTGCAGTTTGTATGGCTGAAGTGGTGATTGTGAGGAAAGCGGCCTCAGCGGCGAAGCGATTTCGCTGCGGGAACAGGGCTCGCTAGTCACAGCGGTGCACACACCGGCCTGGTGTCTGCTGTACTGTACCGCGACCGACCGTGAGCGTGAGCGCGAGCCGGCGTAGCGCGCTTGCCCTCCCTCCCCTACCTCTCCCTCACCCCCCGCGTCCCGACGCCCGCGCGTCGCCAGGCAACGCGGCGCACGTGGCCACACGGGCCCCGCCCCCGCGCCTGTACCTTGGCCCGCACCCACCATCAAAAGAAATCACAGAAGGCTCACTCCTCACTTGGTACAAAGGTTCATTCCCTTGTCCCTTGTTCTCTTGGTGAACATTTTACAGATAGATATTCACGCGGACATTTGATGTTAGAGAATACGTCGTATAAGTCCTATTGGTTCGGGCCTGGGCGCTCTACATGTAGCATCTCTAAGAATAGCATTTTTGACTAATACCAACTTCGTATTGTCTACTTTGACAATGAGATTCACCGAAACAACCCTCAAACCGTCTGAGGATACGACCTGCTATTATGTATTCAGGTCAACGCTAGCGTCAATTTCAAGCAAGAAATATAGCGCGCACACTACATAAAAGCAGTGTGTGCAGTCATATCTGATGCTGCGTCCAAAGATAGAGATACGTAGGTATGCATTATCTCTATATATTTAGTTTCGCTTAAACTCAAACGGCTCGATCGAATTTAATGAAATTATTGGTTGTGTTTGAATGGGTCCCCGAATGGCAAAGAATCACATTTTGACTCGGTAGACGGCGCTGTTGTCGAGATCTATATCATCAATAGAACAGTATAAAGCCTTTTAGAGTACCAACGTTTTTACGACGAATGCGGCATAAAATAGGGCATACTTTACACGTGGTAGCGCCACGCTGCAGCTATATTATGGTTGTAGCACGAATCGACCAAGTATGAAAGAATACCAGTATAAAAAAATAAATAAAAACAATGTAGCACTGCCGTGCTTCGTACGAGAAACGAGAATATTTTGATTTATTTTAATTCTTAATCACGTCGCATAAAATAATTATACCTAGATTTGTGTTTATAAAGTGCCTGGGCGACCGAGCTTTGGAAAAAAAAATATTATATAATATTTTTGATCTCACGTTTAAAAAGTAAGTATTATCATTGTTCTTAAACGCGAAAACAAAACATTTCATAAGTATACATTATAATTTATTAGATTATTATTTCCCCAGAAGTGGAGCCCATTTAATTGAAAAAGGAAAGGGAATGAAAGTGAACGCAAGTAAGAAGAAAGTGATAGTTTTTGAAGGAGAAGAAAGCAAAACGGTATGTGAAATAAGAATAGAAGGAGAGTTAATTGAGCAAGTGGATGAGTTTGTGTATTTGGGATGTGTATTTAGCAGGGATGGTAGATATGATAGGGATATAGAACGACGAGTAAATGCAGAGAATAGAGTGAATGGGGCACTACACTCTATTATGAAGAACCAGAATTTGTCAAAACAGGCACGTATGGTAATTCATAATGCTGTGTTAGTCCCTACTTTAATGTATGGTAGTGAAAGCTGGGTGTGGCAGAAGAAGCACGAAAGTAGAATAAATGCTGTAGAAATGCGGTCTTTAAGGAGTATGCTAGGGTTGAATCTAAATGACAGGGTGAGAAATTGCATGATAAGAGATAAATGTGGTATGCAAGATGATGTGACCAGGATTAAGAAAGGAATGCTTCGGTGGTTTGGTCATGTAGAAAGAATGAATGAGGAAAGAGTGACAAAGCAAATTTATATGGCAGATGTGAACGGTAGAGTCGGGAAGGGACGCCCTAGTAAAAAGTTTATCGACCAAATTGGCGATATTTTGAAAATGGGCCACGTTAAAAGTACCCTTAACCGACGAGCATGTATGCGTAGATATATGGATGTAAAGGAGGCGAAAGAGGTACGTCAGGATCGTGTCAAATGGAAGTCCGTGGTCTCTGCCTACCCCTCTGGGTGACAGGCGTGAGTGTTTATGCTATGCTATGCTATGGTGGATGGCCCCTGTGGGTTGGAATACCGACTAAAGAACGACGCTCACGCACTCCGGCGAGACAGACCTACGCTCTAGCCACTGGACTGGACAAGATGACTTGTTTTAAAATTATGTACCAATCATAATTTCGAAAGTAATCAACATGATTGGTAATTTGGAAACAGATCAATGTGCTCAAGTATGTGTTGGCTCTGTAGCACAGGGGATTATCAATGAGTTACAAGTTAAAAAATTGTTTCGGGTCTAGATTTTTTACCTTGTGCAATTTCTATATATGAATAGTTTACATAGTCCTAGTGTCCTAATCCTATTGTCCTCTACACTAAGATTTTCTCGGAATCACGGAGGAAAAGCAAATTAAAGCCAGCCCAGATCAATTTTTCGCACTCGTTAAAAACCCTTCATAGAAAATTTCATCTATCTGTTCAACGGTTCAACGTTTTTCAGAACGTAATTACAATACAAACAAATATATAAATATTGTTCTTTACACAATGTAGGATTTTAAATAAGTATAATATATAAATGAAAAATCTTCTATTTGTATTCATTATAAATTATTTTTATTTCCGAATTCCATTTATTTAATTAACTGAGTGAATTATATTCTTCATCATAATCATCATCATCAATATCGTTGTCATAACAGCTCATCACAAGTCCCTTGCTGAACATAGGCCTCCCCCAAGGTATGACACAAAGCACGGTCCAGAGCCATCTGCCAATCTGCTGGTCTGGTACGAGGCTGCTCCCAGAACCTTTTTTTCCTATCGGTTATCGGTTCTTCGAGCTATGTGGCCGACCTTTTGTCACTTCAGCTTACTAATCCGTTGGGCTGTGTCGGTCACTCTGGTTCTACTGCGGATATCCTCATTTGTAAGTTTATCACGCAGAGAAACTCCGAGCATAGCCCTCTCCATAGCTCGTTGAGCGATTTTGAAATATATGAATATTTGTTCGTAATTGCGGTTTCGAGCATCAGTTATATAAACGTCCTTATGTGGTAGAACCATGCTGCAGTTATATAGTTAGTTGTAGTACGAGTGAGTCGGTTCGACTGGCTGAAGGACTAACAATACCAGCATTAATAGCAACTTAATGCTGCTTTCTTTCGTATCAGGTGAGTATAGTGTAGAGAACTGGAGCCCCTTTATACTGGGTACTGGGCTTTCATTCATAGTATTCAGGCTACATATGGAAGTTTGTGGGTCACAGCTCCTACCATTAGATGTTCTATACGTCTCGTTTGTCACTTTTAATGTTAGAATTTAGAACATTATAGTCACGTTGAGTGTGGTCTTACAATGCGTTACCTCTTCAGTACCTCAGCGATGAATTGTTTACCGATTCGCTTTAATCAACAGCATGAGAGACTTGGTCGATACTGCTACAAAAGGAAATGTGGGTCAATATAAAATAAAATTATGTGTCTTACATGGTTTGAAGAGCATTTTCCTTAATATAATATCGATATACGAATATTTACATCAGTGCGGTGATGTTTTTTTCCAAGTGTTAAGGTATTGAGAGTAGTTGGTGTTGGGATTAATGGCGACGATGATATTGCTCGCGATTGGGGGAGAGCGGGAAGTGCTCTTCAGACTACGTAAGATATTATTTTATTTTATTAAGCTTTAATGCAACGCTCATTTAAGAAGCTCCTAGTTCGGACCTAAACTTGGTGAAAATTTCAGTTCAAGATATCTCCGCGCGTACGCTTCACGCCGTATAAAAGATAATACAAGTGTACGGAAAAGTAATACACATTTATTTGTAATACGAGTACAATCTATTTCCGCAGCAAAGTCAGCCAGTGTTAGCAGAACCGGTGGCACATCGATTTCAATTAAAGTTTTCTCGCATTGTCGGGAGACCGAACTTTAGTTCAATATGTTTGAATTCTCTCAACTAGTCAGCAGCAATATATATTAAAACGACTAAAGATAGTATGGAGATATTCTCGTCGATACTTTTGCAGTAAGCAAACTTGTAAATGTAAATATGATCTCATATATTATGTTATTGTACATGTTATTTGTGAATTTTACTCCACCGCGAAGTTAGAACGAAACACTTAGAAATTGCATTACACGGAATCAATGTAAGCAATTGTTTTGCCATCACCACTTCCACAGACTTCCTGGAAATTTGTCTGTCTTCTTGTGTGGCAAATATGTCATAATGGGGAGGCGGAAAGACTCTAGCAGTAGCATTTTGAAACCGATATTAATACCAGACAGTTGTAACACGTGCCATGCCCACAATGCCATGATTCTGTAAATGTAATCATTTTAAGAAAACAAAAAATATATAATAAATTAAATAAATTTAATTTAAATGGTGAAACTATAAAGCCGTTGTAAGTTACAATGACTATTATACTTATATATATTATTATACTTATATCTTTGGTGATATTTATATTGAGCAAATCTAATAAAGACATGTATTTTTACGGCACCCAGTGCCAAAGCTCTGAGCTACTTAGTAAGGTATTTATTATTTCGAACTGTACACGCAGCCAAACGGTTCAGCGAAAAAAATACTATAAACTGGTCGGTGTAAAAAATGGACCAAGAGAAGTATGTTAGGTAAGTCTGTGCGATAAAAGAAAAAGCTGGTTTGCAAAATGCTATGACCAGGATTAAGAAAGGAATGCTTCGGTGGTTTGAACGTGGAGAAAGAAGGAATGAAGAAAAGTAAAATTGCAAATTTATGCAAGTGAGCGGTAGAGTCAACAAAGAATGCTCTAGACAAATTTGGTGATAAGTATATTGGAAAAAAAAAAGAATAAGGGTGACAAACTAGCACACAGTCTATCTTATGGTAAGTGGATGCCGTGGAGTCTAAAATGCATGCATTTTATTTCTTTCGAGTAAAAAGGGTCGCCGATTCACTACACTCACTATACGAAACACAGCAGCATTTAGCTGTTATTTTACACTGGCATTCTTTCTGAGGCTTTTTGCGCCATCCCAAAATGCTGTTCTAGTAAAATAAACTGTTAAATAAATTTAAGTAACGCGATCACCAGTTTATTATCCATCATCCAAATATAAACATTACGTCATATCGATTTAAGAAACTCTTATACAACCCTTGTTCTAAAATAACTTTTGTTCGATATAAAAAAGGGTAAAAGTACCTATCCATAAGAAAAGCCCACTCGATTCGAAAACGTCACGACAGCCATGTTCCTCGTTATATTTATTGCTTTTAATTGTAATTGAAGATGTG